ATTCAACTTGTTCGTCTCATCCGTCGTCATGAGTTTCCGCTCCTGACGTGCTTTCTTGACGTCGAAGAGATCGTCTAAAAAGGGCTGAAATGCGCCGTCCAGAGTCACCAAGGTCGAAAGACCAGCAGAGGCGAGCTGCCATATCTGCTCACGAGAGAAACTCTTCGCATCGGACTTATTGAAAAGAAAAGAATCGGATAGATGCTTAGAGTCTGTCGATCGCTGCTGCAACTTTTTAAGCTGCGTTGCCAACGAAGACATTTTTCTGTTTATTTAAAAGAAAAAAGAGTTACTTAGTTACTTACAATTAATGAAAAAAAAAAATTAAACGGTTAAAAGGGTACGAAATTAATCGGTTCTATCTGTATAAATAGAGAGAGAGAAAGAAAAGGTGAAAAAGGACAGTCGTTGGGTAGAAAATATAACAGACACACGTGACAAAAAGGTGGCCGTATTGTTATTCTATTTTTTTTTCTGTGTTCTATATTAGCATTAGGATGACATTAGTTATCTAACAACGCGCGAGGGAGCCTCTTACTCCCCTCTCTGTCGCTTCCCTCTCTCCATAGGCTCTTCCATGGACGCGTGACTTCCGCCCTTCCTAGTTCGTATGCCGCCTCTCAATTCCTTGTCTTTCTTTTCCTTCTTCATGGGCAGTCCACCGCGCTCCGCCTCCTGTATCCGATACATCTCCACGCGACTAAGTGCCCCCCGTGAGGAGGCGGTGAAGACCCGCTCGCTAGGGCTCCAGGAGTGGAGGCGGGAGTGGTAGGACAGGGCCCCCGCGACGCTGGTGGAGACGCCTCCCACGTCATTGGACGCCGTCGTGTCACTGGCGCCCTTCTTCAACACTATCCCCATCCCTGTTTGGTGTCGCGCCTGACGCTCCATCCCAAACCCATCAAACAAACTACCGCCCAGCTCCACGGACTGCTTCAGGAACTCCGTTTCTAAGTCATAAATGCGGACGTCCAGGCGAGTGAGGGATGACTCCATGGCGGCTCGCTCCCTCGACAGTGCCTCTAGGGTATCGCGCGTCGAGTCCGACAGGGGCACCTCCACCTCTTCCACATGATTGCCGCCAACGTTGGTTCGTCGGGTTTTTGTGTTGGGGACTAGACCCGAACTAGCAGTACTATAATTTTCCGTCACCCTTCCAGACATGCGCAAAGTCTGATCTTCTGTTGCTATTGCTTTTTTTTGTTTGTTTGTTTTAGGGATAGAGAAGGAACATGATTAAAAAAAATATGGGTTATAAAATAATTAATAATAATAAAAAACGGTTTCCTGCCACTTCTCGATAATCAAATGAAACCGCTCTTTTGTGTCGATATCAGAAAAGAAGCAAAGCATGTTCCGATACCTCAATAATAAGAATGGTCGTTTTTTGTTGTTGGGAAATGAAAGTTGTATTTCACTACATATCCGCAATAAGCTGACCTGCGACAGAGTTGGCCAACTTGAGAATCTCATCCTTATCCTTCAGCCCGTCAATGAACCGCTGGGGTATCTTCTGGAGACCCACCTGCGCGCCCACCAGCGCACCAGTCAGCATGGTACGGGCACAGTTCTGTCCTCCGCCGTTGACGGCGTGCAGCACCGCTCCTTCAAAGTCGTCGGAGAAGCGCGCGGCGAGGTAGTAGGCGGCCGGTAAGATGTGATACGCGGCGCAGGGCATACCGTACACGAGGGAGACCCTCCACGCCGGTTCGATAGAGATGTTTGGGTCCTTGGCCGCGGCAGCACACGTGGACTGCGTCAGCAGCGCATCCGGGGAGGCAAAGCGGCCGGCGCGCGGTGGGTCCGGGTCCCCTGGCTTGGGAGGAGCGAGGTCATCGCCGGTGACACAGTGAAACGGGAGTACGCCCGACTTCACCTCGTCCATCATCAGGTACGAAATCTTGTCGTCCATCGGTGCCCCGCGTATCAACTGGGAGAGCGTAGCACTGAAGGCGACTGTCATGGAGATCAGCATCTCATCGTTTTGTGTGAGCAAGGTGTCCGCTGAGACGGCCTCCGCTAGCTTGGTGGGATTATTGGCGTAGCGCACCCCCAGCGCCAGATTACGTTCGATGGCCTCGGTGGTATCCGCCGTACTCGCGCAGTGGCCGCCCTCCCAGCCGACCCCTTTTTGACGCATGCGATAGGCGTTGCGGATCGACTGGCTGGTGTACCCACCAGGACCGGCAGCGGGTGTACCGTCCATCTTTGTAAATAACTTTTCGTCCAGTACGCTAGCAAAGTGCTCCGCGCTGTAGCCGCCCTTGGCGTGCAGCGACTCCAGCATCAGCTTGAGGATATACCCGGACTGGGTGAGTTCCCCTGCCTTCAGCTGGTCGTGGTAGCGGCCTGGCTTGGGGTCACGGTAGTCGCTCACCCACTCCCCGTGGTCCTTCCGCATCTCCTCCAGGTCATAGTACCAGTGCACGCCCATCCCTAGCGCGTCACCGATAAAGGCACCGACAATAGCCCCCACGGCACGGTCAAGAATGGCCTCCTTGTTCATGATTTTTGAATGAATTGTTTTTGGTTTTAGTTTTTGTTTTTCCCTTTCGTAAAGAATATAAAAAAATAAAAAAAGGAGAAAACGGGAAAGAAAATTGTATGAAGTAGTTATGCACTTACAAAAATAGTCCTCCAATTATAGAAAATGTTCTTTTTTATTGTTTTTGTACTTTTTTTTTTCCGAAAGGAATAAAAAAAAAGGCTGTTAAAACGGAAATCTCACATTCCTCAGGAACTTTCCACCCACTTATTCAAAGGATGAAAAGAGCAATGGAAGGTTTTTTTATTTGCTGTCACAAAGAAAGGTTTAAGCAGAAATAGAAAAGATTCGAAGTATTTCAACTCTTGCAACACGTAAAGGCCAAGAACAGTAATTAACGTTACTAACGGCTGGCTGAGCGCTTGCTTGGTTTTGTAGAATAAGCGTTTATCAATCTTACACACTGTCGGCACCAACAAAATACCGGTTGGTTCTTGCTGGTTTCTTCGGATGTGTTCTGGCTAACACAGTTTTAGAACGCAAAAGCATTTGAACTCTGGCAATACGTCAAGGCCATGGAAAGTAATTGACTTTTTTTTTTTTTTTTTTTTTTTTTTAATTTTATTTTTTTATATATATTTTTAACAAAAAATTTTTTTTTTTTTTTTTTTTTTTTTTTTTTTTTAAAAAATTTTAAAAAAAATTTAATCTGCAATACAACCAGGAAAGTAATTGACGGTACTAATGGCTGGTGCGTTTGCTGAGGTTGGTTCATCGTAAAAGCACGGGAGAATTCACTGCAGAATGTATACAGCAATCTTACACACTGTCGGCACCAACAAAATACTGGTTGGTTCTTGCTGGTTTCTTCGGATGTGTTCGTCGATGGGGGTAATAATAAATGCGATTAAAAGAAATCTCCCGTTCCTCAGGATCTTTCCATCCACTTATTCAAAGGAATAAAAGAGCTATGGAACGCTTTCAAATACTGGTCAAAAGAAAAGATGAAACACAAAGTAAAAAACAAAAAAAATGAAACACTTGAACTCTTGCAACACGTAAAGGCCAAGAACAGTAATTAACGTTACTAACGGCTGGCTGAGCGCTTGCTGGGTTTTCTTTTTGTTATTATGATGAGGGAATGCGTATGCTGATCTTACACACTGTCGGCACCAACAAAATACTGGTGGGCTCTTGCTGGTTTCTTCGGATGTGTTCACCCATAATTATAGAGAAAGTAAAACTCACTTTTTTTTGACGTGGTGGTTACTAATGGTGAAAACAGAAATCTCACATTCCTCAGGATCTTTCCATCCACTTATTCAAAGGATGAAAAGAGCAATAGAAGGTTTTCGACTATTGAAAACAAAAATGGAAAGTATTCCCAAAGAAACAATGAAAGATTCTGGCAATACGTCAAGGCCATGGAAAGTAATTGACAGTACTAATGGCTGGTGCGTTTGCTGAATATTTACTGTGTGTCATTTTTAAAAAAACGGAAAAGGAAATCTTGCAGCTATTTCAAAGCCAAAATAATGCGCGCAATTGATCGTTTGCAAGTGGCTGCAGATATATGCTTTTTTTTTTTTTTCTAAATAATATACGTATGCGAGTAGTGTAATGCGACAGTCTTACACACTGTCGGCACCAGCAAAATACTAGTGTTTGTTTTTGTTGGTTTCTTCGGATGTGTTCAAATATGTGATAGTAACAAAAAAAAGCAAACACCTTGAGAAAAGAGTCTCAGACAGATTTCGTTGAAGTTTTGATAACAAGTCAATCAATTTTTTTTAGAAAAAAAATTCAGTAAGAACGCAGTATCGTTTAGTCATCAGTTAGCGTCGGTGTTAACAGGAAAAGAATGTACGCCGATCTTACACACTGTCGGCACCAACAAAATACTGGTTGGTTTTTGCTGGTTTCTTCGGATGTGTTCTGCAAACGGAAAACAGTTACCCTGGAGATTTCAGCAATACTCATCACACATTTTAAATCTGACACAGTTTCGGCGCCGGACTCACTATAAAAACAAACTAAAGTCGGTTTATTGGCTGTGTTTCGCTTTGCTCGTTTATTGAGGTTGTTATTTTTAGAAGTATTTCAACTCTTGCAACACGTAAAGGCCAAGAACAGTAATTAACGTTACTAACGGCTGGCTGAGCGCTTGCTTGGTTTTGTAGAATGGGCGTTTATCAATCTTACACACTGCGGCACAACAAAATACCGGTTGTTCTTTCGTTTTTTTTTGGTTTTTTTTTGTTAAAAAAATTTTAAAACGCAAAAGCATTTGAACGGAATACGCAAGGCCAGGAAAGAATTGACGGTAAATTGGTTGTTTTTTTTTTGAGGTTGGTTCATCGTAAAAGCACGGGAGAATTCACTGCAGAATGTATACATCAATCTTACACACTGTCGGCACCAACAAAATACCGGTTGGTTCTTGCTGGTTTCTTCGGATGTGTTCAAGAAACAAATATTAAAAGAAAAAAAAATCTCAAAAAAACGGTAATATATGAATTCTCCGGCACTACCAGAAGGTGCAGCATGCCATTAGTGTCAGACCAGGCTCACCTCGGATTGTCCCGTGTGTACACAGCTTTTTAAAAAAGATATGGTTTGTAATTTGATGAAGTACGTGAGTTTTCACGTAATAAAAGAAATAAGCACCTGTAAATCAGTCGGCCTCCCGAAGGAAACCACCGCTAAATTTTCATTTCACTACGTGCACCATTACAGTACACAACTCGAAAAAGGTACACTCAGTTAGCAAGTCATCAGGTAGTTACGAATCTTACAGCTGGAATATTTTACAATATGATATACACCTACAAATCAGTCGGCCTCCCGGAGGAAACCACCGCTAAATTTTCATTTCACTACGTGCACCATTACAGCACACAAATCGAAAAAGGTACACTCAGTTAGCAAGTCATCAGGTAGTTGTAGTGCGAAAAATTGAAAAGTACTTTTTTGAAGAAGAGAAGGTGAGAAAAGGGGATCTTATAAAACAGTATAAAGACGCATCACAGGGCGCGTGAGACGTGTGTTTTTTGCTTTTTTTTTATTTTTATTTTATGGCAAAAATCAAAAAAAAAGATAGAATACATATATTATACAGGTATAGGGGATGACATATTGATGGAGGGTAAGACTGTCGTGTTCGCACTATTCGTGTTGCGCTTCTTGCTAGCAGGAGGTTTCGCCTTGCTGGCGGTAGCGGCACGTTTTGGCTTCTTTTTATTCGCATCCGCGGCGGGCGGACGTGGAACCAGCGAGAAAGAATTACGTCCCTTTTTTTTCGGCAATGCTCAGCAGAAGGGCGCTAGACTTCCTCTTCCCCGCCACGTTGACTGGAATATACAAACTGGATTCCTCATCCCAGATGAATCCGCAACTGAAACATTTATCAGCTGGATTATCACCGGCGAAGACAGACGAACCTCCGGGACCATGGCGGCACGCGGCGATAATACGCTTCTGCTCCGCCTCCCTCTGCTTTCGCAGCTTCTCCCTCTTCTTTTCCTTCTTTTTGTTTTCCTCCTCGAATGCAATGCCCTCTGGTGTCGCTAGCCACGCCTCATACGCCGCCTTCTCCGCGGCAACCCGGTCCTCTTTTTCCTTCTCCACTAATCGCACGAAATCGACCGGCTCCTCCGCCTCCAACTCCCGTCGTGCATCTTTTTCTTGCACTACAATAAAGGTCAGCGCCGCAGAAAGGCGCTTCTCCTGCGCCTTCTTCCACTCCGCCCTACGAGCCAGTTCCTCTTCTAGCTCCTTCCGCTGGAGCATCTCCTCCTTCCAGGCACGACGGGCGGCCTCCTTCAGCTGCTCCTCTCGCTCCTCCAGCTCCGCCTCGTACAGCTTTATCCTGGCACTAACTTGTTCTTCTAGAATATTCAGCTGCAGCAGGTTGGCCTCCTCTTGTTTGAACTGATTCCTTGACGCACTAATGAACCAGCTATACACACCGTTCAGCTGGGCCAATGAAAAGGAAATAATATCCTCCCGCTCTAGTCTCTCGTCGCTTTCCAAGTCGGCAATGCGTTGGAGAAGAACCCGCCGCTGCTCCTCCGCCTCCTTCTCTCGTGTCTGCCACGCGAACAGGGAAAACTGCGTAGGGAGCGGTGCGGCCTGTTTGGTTTGTATCACTTCCCCAGACATGCAGAATCGAACCTTGTTGGCCGTCGTGTCCCTGCTTTTCCCAATTCTAATCTGAGCGCTATCGTCCTGTCGATAGACCTCCTCCAGCCCATCCAGCACCCGCATTGATATTTCGTCCGGCACCAGCGTACTATGATCATTGTAAAACTCCTTGAAGAGTGGGGACTCAAATAAAAGGGGAGGAGATCCCGCTCGGCGTGGCTCCTCCATGTCCACCATCGACCTACTAGTTGGGAAACAACAAAAAAAAAAGGTAGATCGCTTTTGTTTTAACAAAAAATGGAAAAAGAAGAGAATTAATTTAAGAACAGGAAATAACAACTGTGCCACTTCACAAAGTAAGGGGGAAACAGAGGAAAGGGAAAAACAAATTTGAGGAAGAACCGACAAGCAAAAAGTTGCCCTCCCATAATGTACATGTTTACGTGTGTAAAAAAAAAAAAGATCGGTTACGTTTTGATAGTTAAAATTTCATTTTATATCAAAGACGCCAAGTCAGGAATCGACGACTTCTCCAGCACGTGCTTCTCCATGAGATCCGCCAAGCCGGCAAAAGTCTCCTTCTTTACGCCAGAACTCAGCGCATAGAGACGCGCCGCCTGATTCAGGAAGCCGGAGGAGCGAAGTAAATTATTGGGGTTCTCCTTAAGAAAGTTTTCCATCGTCGACAGAATGGAGGGCATGATGGTCAAAGGGTCTTTTCCACTTTCGCGTTCCGAGTACGTGAAACAGCTAATGTACGAGACCTGGTTGCATGTCCTCATGTGGTCAAACGCCTGCACAATCTCCTTATCCCCAGTTCGACTGGTCTGAGTAGCCAGCGCGCGAAATACCTCACTCGCCTCCTTAAACATTCCTTTAAAAACATATTTAAATCCCTCACACATTTGCTCAACGTTTAGTGCATAATCACGAAACGAAGGACCACTATCGGAATACCATGCGGCACAGTCTTGTATTTTGACGATGGTCTCCTCCGCGGAGACAATCTTCCCCAACTGTAAACACAGACAGGCAAACTGTTGAAGCAACAGTATCTGTTTCATCGGGTTCAGCTCGATTTTCCCATACTCTGCGTGTCTGCTCCGCTGCTCCTCATCATTTAGAAGCGCCTCAAAAAGCGATACCGCAGCGCGGTAGTCGCCTACGCTGTAGTAGAGTGGAATGAGAGTCCGTGACACGCGTAGGGCGCGGCCGCTCCACAGTTGCTCCTTATCTTTTTTCCTTCCTCCTTGCAAATGCTAAGCAGTCGCTCCAGGTTGGCGATTGCCTTTCTCGTCTCACCCGCATAGTGTGGTATTGCACCGCATATATACCGAAGTGAAAAGGGAACTAAATTCTCTCCCGTGGTGGGATCACGGTAATGAGCGCTATTCTCTACATCTCCCAGCAGCTCCACCAGCGAGATCGCAAACGGAATCTGCTGCGTTTTAAAATAGACCGTAATGCGAACCAAGACATAGGGCAAGTGTTCTAGGCCGTTCTGGTGCGCCTTCTCCTGTTCTAGTTTCTCTGCTAATGCCAACACGCCACTCCAGTTTCCATTAGCCGCTAGTGTGCGCAAGCCGTCGTCGGTTTGGGGAACACTAGTACAATCTATCGACTTGCGGGAGGTGGTATATCCCTGGGGAGTCTTTGTCGGACTCCACGATCCGTCGAGTGACATTTTGTCGGATTGGGAACGGCAAATACTTTGACAAAAATGTTGAAATGAGAAAAAGAAAAAGGGAACGTGTTGAACTGGAGAACGGCGCAAATGAAACCAGATTATTATTTTACTTTTACATAACTAAATCGTTGTACGTTTAAAGTAAAAAAGAAAAAGAGTGTTTGGACGAGCTTCTCTGATCCAAGAGCAATCGTCCACAACAACAAAAAACGTAGTAAAAACAAAAACAAAAAACAAGCAGCTTTAGATGTTTTTTTTAAGGTAGCGCATAACCTTAGAAAACGGGGAGACATATCTGCTGGCAACTTCTATAATAGAGTTACCGTTTCTATCCTGGGTTGACCTCCACTCCGACCCCGCCTCCCGTAAAACCTTCAATGTGTCTACCACCTTCCCTGACCGATGTCTCGACATAATACACCACAACGCCGGGGTTCTTCCCCTGTCGTCCGGCGCATCCACGTACTGTCGCACAGACTCCCGTTCTAGCAGCTTCCTCAGTACCGGCGCGTTGCACCCCCGGGCACAATGATGCAACGCTGTCGCCCCTTCTTTCCCTGGAGAAATGAGAATCTCATCCCCGAACACCTCTGCCATCCACAGCAGAATGTTTATGTGGCCCGCCTCCGACGCAGCGCCAAATGACCCGCCGCAGTTATTGCGTAGCAACGCTGAGACGGGGCTCTCGTCGTCCAAGGGAGGCGTAATGATATTCTTCCTTAACAAAAAGTCAAAGCAGTCCGTGTTGTCATCGTTCAACGTGCAGCTAGTTAATGCGCAATCGATTTGCTCTCCTTTCAGAGACCGGATAAAGTTCCTATGATTGCTATATAAAAACTCCAGCACATTGATTTGACTTTCGCAGATAGCACACCCAATGGTGTTAAGGTCGTGCCGGTGCACTTCAGATCCCCACAGACTAGAGCGCACTGACCGCCCTTTCTGCGCGTTCAGGACTGTCTCCGCCGTGAACTGCTCCATCAGAAACGATAAGATTGGGACGTTCCCTGAGCCTGCCGCCAAATGGCACGGCAAACAGCCGTTGAAGTCGAACCCAGAGGTCGCTAGCAAGTTGAACGTGGGATATTTCTCGGGGACAGAATTGTACTTGATGTGATGCGCCGAAAAGTACGGAATGCCGGTAGAGGTGTAAGAGTAGGTGGACGCTATCTCCTTCATCCAATCAATATCCCCCAACTCAGCGGCAAAGTGGGCGATAGAGAAGCAATTGAAAAACTGGCCGGGAAACTGTTGAGATATTTTGGGATCGTACGTATGCCAATTTTGGCTATTCACGGCGGTGGGGGCCGAGGACAAGAAAAACTCGTTTCCCCAGTCTGGGCTCGCGGACTCGGTATTCGGGACCTCCTCGTCCTCGAGGCCCGCTTTGACCTCCTTGTACACAGTCGGCTTGATGGAGCCGGGAATGAAACAAGGATCGTTCACCTTCAAGTTCAGCAATTGTCGCTCTAATAGAGGGACCTTCGACAGAATCTCCCTATGACTTTCCTCATCCTCGTTCTCCGCCACCGTAATCCAGCGTGCCAGTATGTTGTAAAAGGGGATCCCACCGGTCTCAGCCGCCCTCTGGTGGGCACCCCGCACAAAGAACGAACGTCTTTCATCGTCCAGTTGAACTGCTCCCGGTGGAGTTGTGGTGGTCAGACTATCCGAGATGATACCACGGCTGGCAAGAAGGGAATTCATCGTTTCTTCCAAATTGTTCTGCAGCCGTTTAAAACTCTTTCGCATGGTGC